TGAACCCAACAAAAATGCAGTAGAACGCGTTAATTGGGGTGAATAAGGAGGGGGATTCTAGAAGCTAGGGAGAAAAGATTTTGCTACTTGGTTAGAGTTAAGGATTGACACGTGAGCTGCGGGAAACCACCTCCTCCCACTAGCACCCTATGTTAAAATGGGCTTTGAGTGCAAGGTTGTTTACATTTTGCTATAGACTGCTCTTGGTTCAGGAGCTCTGGTGCCAAAACCAAACAAAAACAATAGCTTTGTAGGGGGCTGCTTCGTTCTCAAGAAGATCACTGCTCCTTTAGGATTCCGGGAACCAAAATTTACAATTTTTTAATGTCTCTCTCCAGGTGTTGCTGGACTTCACATCCCATCATGCACAATGGCTGGGGATGGTGGTAGTTGCAGTAGAACCCTATCTGCAGCTTTAGGGGAGCCCATTTCCCAGAGAACCCTCAGGGTTCTCACATAACTACAATTCCCAAGATGCTTTGGGGAGGGGTACCCCATAGGCTGATAGAGAAAGATAAGGAGGCCTATGGAAAGAGATCCGGGATCTTGTTCGCAGATCCTCAGCAGCTGACAGAGCTAAAGGCATGCATTTGACCATATAAATTAGCACATGCCATTTTCTGCCAATTGGCCTCCTTTCTTTTCTCGTTCTTCATTGATATATCTATAGCTTCCTCCTTCTGGGACTCTGTGAGGTCGGAGACACCTCCCACCACGCGGATAATGGGAAAGGATAGTTGTAATTGTAGTTGGAAACATCTGGAGGGCCAAGAATTCCCCACCTTTGAAAAAGAGAACACACAAGGGCCAAGGATCAGCGGGGATCATTGCTTTCAGTGATGAAGGAGCAGAGATGTCCCTGAGGTCAATTGGTGGAAGCCTGGGACGAGCATCTTAAAATTCAGAAGCTGCCCAGAGTGAAGCTACAGTGAAGAACAGAGGATAAATCAACCTGCGGATAATCAGTCATCAGCCAGCTTGTAGCGCTTGGCATAATTAAAGTGGAGCCCCAACCAAGAGTGTTGTCACGTCCACCTTGATCTCATTGACGATTGCCTGGGCTGGTATTCAAAGCCGTGAATTTTTACTGGCCATAAATTTCACTGGAGTTTCCAAGATAATGAGAAGGACAATAGGGGGTGGCTGTGGCCTTGACACCCTTCTTGTCAGCTTCTGGAGGCATCTGTAAGGGTATACGAGCCAGATCTCTGTCTCACCTTATCCAACAAGCTGTTGGACACAGGAAGGAAGGAAGGAAGGAAGGAAGGAAGGAAGGAAGGAAGGAAGAATCCAGTTTGGGTTGAACTAGATGACCCTTTGGGACCCTTCCAGCTCTGCACTGGTATAATTCTGTAACTCTCTCTTTCCATTTCAGTTCATGTCACAATAAGCAGGGTTTGGGCAAGGAAATATGAGAATGTGATCTTCCCAAATCTGGTTCCTTCCTGATGTTTGAAACGACAACCTCTATCAAGCCTGACTATTGACGATGGGGCTGATGGGGGTTGTAGTCCAAATCTATGAAGAACAGCAAGGCTGTTATTGCAGCTTCCCTCCAAAATAAATAGAATATTTTATTCCTCCAAAAAAAAAAATAAAGAGAAAGCTTATGCTTTCAGGAAACGGGACAGTGCATAAGGCTGGAAGGTCGACCATTTATTTTCCTAACACTCAGTGGTAGATTCACCTCTAGATTTCAGTGGCTTCTAAATGAGATGCTCCACCCTAGTTACAGATCTGCAAGGTGGAGATAAAGCAGCAAATTACGAGAAACAGCAAGACAGCAAGCAGTTGGCTCCCTCCCTGCCTTAAGTATCCCAGTCTTTCGGAACATCTTGCTGAAAGTCAATAAGACAAGAGGCATCTTGTTGGTTTAATTTTTCAAACACTTATTATAGAGATGGAGAGAGTTCATTTAGGGGACTACGAGTCCCACAATCCCCCAGCCAGTAGGATAATTAGTCAGTCTGGTGGGGGTGGGTTTCTGGGACTTGTTGTCCAGAAAAGGCATATTCCCTGTTTTTCCTTTATCACCCATGCAAGCTGGCACAGAAATGTTTGCTAGAAGAACATCCAACGAGGTGAATCACTCTGAGTCCTCATTCAACAAGGACTCAGAGTGATGAGGAAACCATGGTTTCAGCAGTAGTGTGGCTCAGGCTGAGAGCTCACTGAGAAACCCGCCGGCCTGTCTGGGTCTTCACCAGCCCTCACCCAGGCAAACATTGATTGCACGGTTTCGAATTTCCAGTTAAATCCGTCTAGCTGTGCGGAGAAGTGCAAGGATTCACAGAGCAGAATTGCCTTCAAGTTCCCCCAGATTATGCCATCCCTTCTTCTCAGTCACTGGCACTTCAGATCTCAACAACTCTCTCTGAGACATTCATAGTAGAAAGGATAGAAACAATTTCCTTTACTTCCAGTTGTGAACAAATCCAACAGCAAATCAAGAAAACAACGCTGCTTTCAGCAACAGGTCTCAACAGACTACAAAGTGTCAAGAGACAATTCGGGGGGGGGGAGGTCCAGAGTAGAGCCGTGTGGCTCTCTTTGAATTCAGAGGCAGGGTGGCTGCTTACAGCAACAGGTCTCAATAGACTGCAAAGTGTCAAGAGACAATTGGGGGGGGGGTCCAATTCAAAGGCAGGGAAGGAATGGTTGGTTAGTCCGGATAGCTTGACAGTCCCTCCCAGCCCAACCTACTAAGGGTTGCAGAAACCCCAGCGGTATGGACGCAAAGCAAACTCAGGTGGAGAGAGCTGGCACTATCCACTCATGGCACAAAGGTGGGTCCACTGTTCATCTGCTCCTATAGCCCTACAGATGATGAAGGAGGGTTCCTCTGAATGGATGGCCAGGAACTCAGGCTGGATAGCTTGACAGTCCCTCCCAGCCCAACCTACTAAGGGTTGCAGAAACCCCAGCGGTATGGACGCAAAGCAAACTCAGGTGGAGAGAGCTGGCACTATCCACTCATGGCACAAAGGTGGGTCCACTGTTCATCTGCTCCTATAGCCCTACAGATGATGAAGGAGGGTTCCTCTGAATGGATGGCCAGGAACTCAGGAGGCCTTTAGTCCTGGGAGGAATTTATTTCATGGACAGCAATTCCCAGAACACGGCCAGCCATGCTAATAGGGAATTCTGGAAGTCATCGTCCAAAAGGGAATTTTTCACCCCCCTCTGATGCTGGCAAAGGAAGGTCTGGGAGTCATTGTTTTTCCACTGGTGGGTGCAGGAGATCTTTTCCCCCCTTCCTCTGAGGAGATCCGGCTCGCAGGACTTGCAAAGGGCTCGATCCTGGGGTCCGTTCCCCCTGTCGATCCAAGGAGCTTGGAAAGCCAACAGCATGCGGGTGCCTCTTACTAGAGAGCCAACTACATTACCATAGGTAACGAAGACTGATTAGCCACTTCTATGCATGGATAGGCCGTCTATTATTCATTTACACAGCAGAATCTAGCGCGGTGGGAGGAAAATAGGATGTAGCTGTTTCCACTCATCTCTCAAACACAGAGAAATGGTGGAGAAGATCCCGGTGATACATCACGCTTCAGGCTTCAGGGAGATGCTTTGGATGGGGATGATGAGAGCTCAGTGGTTTGGGTCTTGGTTGGGAGTTTGAATCCCCCCCACGGGGCCTCCTGGGCAGGGGCTGGTCTGGATGATCCAAAGGGCCCCTTCCAGCTCTGCAGGTCGAAGATCATCTAAGATGATTCGATGGCCGATTGAACACCAAGGTTGGGCAAACCCACAAGAAGCGAAGATCATCTAAGATGATTCGATGACCGAACACCAAGGTTGGGCAAACCCACAAGAAGCATGCCGGATTGGCTTTGCTTTCGCCGGAGTCCCGCCGTGGTCCACCAGCCGGAACCAGGAGCTGCTCCATGCCGTGAGAGGAAAGTCGGGCAGGGTCTTAAAAACTCAAAAAAACAAGGGTGCCTTTGAATATCACTGGGGTATCAGCAAATTTCAAAGTGCTTGAGAATATCTCTGTAGCCAAATTGGAACAGACAGCCTTAAAAAAATCAGACTGCTGGGGGGAGAGAGACAAAAACCACCAATTTGTTTGGGGCCCAACAAGTCTTTGGTGCTTCGAAGCCCCACCTGATCTGACAGGTGCCCCGTCGGAAGCTGGAGGCCTGGCTTCTCTACCCCACCCTGTCTTGGCACTGCCTCTGAATGGAGGCCTCCCAGAGGAGGAGGGGCTTTGAAGCGCTGAGCATCCGTTCTGCCGATAAACGAACCAGCACAAACCCTCAAACCAGCTGTTCAAGTCCATCTCTACCGCTGGGTGTTTGTGTGTGAGTAGAGTAAGGACATGCGAGGCTTCTGGTTTCGGCCCCAGATTTAATGCGCTAGTCTCTGTTTGCCGTTCCTGGTCTGTCCGCTGGATGGCATGATTGAAATTTCATGTCAACAGATGATGGGAGAAGTATCCCACCCACCCGCCCTCTGTAGAGGCGGATGGCTCCCATGTGGGTGGGGCTGTGAATCTCCTGGTTTAGAGGAAAATGTATAGGAGCTCTCCGAGGTGCTGAACCCAATTTGCAAAAAAGATTTAGTGCCTTGGAGAGTCTGGACGAAAACCTGGGGTGGATTCTCCGCCCCACTGACATTGGAGCTGCCTGGTCTATTCACCCCCTCCATGTGCATGTATTAAAATCAGTACCTTCCAAATGTCTGCAGAACATGGCAGAAACATAGTTTTGATTAATGTAGGCATGTGTTCAAGCAAGGTATATAATTTAAAGCAGCTTAAATGAGTCCACATTTGGAAATAAAAATCAGGGCCGTATCTCATCCTCTAAATGAGGACCTAGGGATGAATTTCAAGATCACTAACCAAGAATGTCCAAGGTACAGTTCAATAATAACAAGGAACAATGACCAGGAAGGAGAAGTGTAGGGCAAAGAGATTTCCAGGACTTATGAGTCCTTTCTGGGTCAAGACTCCTGACTGACTCCCCCCCCAATTCTGTTCTCTTCTTCTGCAGAAATCCGCGAAGCTTTCAAAGTCTTTGATCGCGATGGCAACGGCTTCATCTCCAAACAGGAGCTTGGCACGGCAATGCGGTCCCTGGGCTACATGCCCAATGAGGTGGAGTTGGAGGTCATCATCCAGAGACTGGACATGGACGGTAAGACTTTCTAGAGGAGAAGGGTAGGCTCTCGATGGTCCAAGTGCACAGGCGTAGCGGAACCGGGGCTCACTGGATTGAAGCCCAAGCATTTTCTAATGAGCCCGGACTATACAGCAATCCTCCAGTAGCTTGGAAAGCGATAGATATTTCCCTGGAATGTTATATTGCCCCAAGGTATCCTGGGTGTGCTGCAAAGTAGTTCAGCATGATTTGGTCTAGGAAAAGGCAATCAAGAGTCATTAGCTTTGCAAAAGATCCTCATATGGACTGCTTCAGGTACTTGCGTCTTTAGACCCTCCTTATGGGAGAACTTGGTTACGAGGACTGACACAATGTGCCCCTGCACTTCCAAATTTGTGGCTACACAACTATCCCCTTGGCTATGCCACCACTATCCAGTGAGGTGGCTTTTAAGCTATGGCTAGGGACTGTCTGACCCTCTCAGATGCTGATGGACTGTATCCATTTTTCTTGCTTTTCTTCAAATCCCTCTTGCCTGTTCTTCCTGTTCTTCTTTCAGAGCAGACTGTGAAACTTTGTAGGACTTTTTTACTAGATGTGCTGAATTCAGACATATATATATGGGTATGTGTCTGAATTCAGCATATATCTAGTCCGCTCCTTTCTCATTTACTGGCACTTAAGGTCTGAATAACTCACACTGACACATTTGTAGGAGAAAGAATCAAAATGTTTCACTATTTACACTTGTGAGCATATCGATAGCAAACTAACAACCAACAAATAACCATAGTGGAAATCTCCAAAATGAATCTGTCCGAGTTAGGGAAACAGCAAAAAGTGTGAATTTCAGTGGGACTTAGATGGAATAACTTTCCAATGGGCTTGATCTTTGCCTTCCTAAATAAACTTTTGACTGACATCTCCCTGACCTCTCCCTTTTAAGGGGAAGCTTATAAAATCATGGAATCTTTCAGAATCCAGACTTATTGGCTCATGCCCTTTGAGAGCTGGACAAGATCTTAGAAATCACCTACTCCAGTTCCCAGCCCAATCCGGGATCTGCTGTGCCACACGTGGGCTTTCAGGCTCGGTGGCTGTCACTTCCTAAGGAGCCCCCCCAAAAACAGACAGAAACTGCAGCCTCTGAAGAAATCTCAAGGAAGGCGTGCAAAAGAAGAAAGAATAGAGGGAGGCATTTTTCACTTCCTTTGGTACAGACTATTTGATTCACTTCAATTTAACCACCCTTAATTGAGGACTGTCAGAGGAAAATTAGCATCAATGCAAAGTTCAAGAAGAACTTTGGTGGTGTTTTAAGCAGAGGTACAATGGATAAATTGTCTGCCTGATGCAGGCGGCGTGGAAAGCACCCAAAAATAAACTTTGTAATTCATGGCATGAAGAAAGAATAAAAGTACTAATTAAAGGAGATGGGAAATGTCGCAGAGTTCTGAATTTTTGGTTCAGTTCCTCTTACCTGCACAGTAGACATGCCAGGATTCTCAGAGCAGAATAAATCCAAGGTCTCTGAAGTAGTCCAACCCTTTTCTCATTAACTGGCACTTATGGGCTCAACAACTCTGTCTGAGACATTAGTAGTAGTAAGGATAAAAGCCATTTTCTTTACTTACAGTTGGGAACAGATCAACAGCAAACTAACGACACTGAGTGCTTCAACAGATTAAAAGGAGAGAAAGAGAGCTGAACCGAGAGTCAGGGATCTCTTTGAATTGAGAGGCAGGGAAGGAACGATTGGTTACTGCTGGATAGATTGACAGTTACCCCAACCCAGAAAAGCCCTTCCCAGTCACTCAAATCACCCTGCGAGGTTGCAAAAACTCCAGCAAAAAGTGCCTTCTGTTCTCGATGCAGCATCAGATGCTAGCGGGCTCTGAAGCAGACTCTTTCACTGTTTCTATATCTTCTTTTCCTGCCTCCTGCTGCTTTCTTTTTTCTAATCCTCTTTACTTTATGCCAACTCAGCACTTGCAAAAGCCTTTTCTTGAGCTGGTTCTTTTTCTTCTTTCATTTCTCTTGCTTCCCCCTCTTGCTTGCTTTCTGCCTGTGATGTCCTCTGTTCCCATCACCACGTTGCTTTGATCGATAATAACTTCAGGAGTTGCACAATTTTAAAAATACATACTGTTTTGCACCTTTGTACCTTCTAAATTTGGGTACCCTCATTGAAAGCTCCGTTTGCCGAGCCCTGTATACAGTTCTGATGTCTGGGAGATCTTGGGCCGGTGGAAATCAGCTTCAAACGGGAAGCGCCATAGCGCTAAACTCCTCCTTAATTCTCAGTGTCATCTCAGTTTATACTTAGATGATACTGAGAATCAACCTTACTTCCAAGAAGAATGGGAAAAAAGGAGAAAGTCAGAGGGGGAAAGACACTGTGCTTAGCAGGACAAGAGGAGTGTCGTGTGGATGGTGGGTGTTCTAAACAGATGGTCAATACAAATACTTTTTGATTACAAAAAACGAATACAGGAGGACTCCCGTATCGACAAGATCAGTATCCGCTAATTCACTTATCCACTGTTTGAAAATATGAAGCCTATTAAAAGAAAAATCTTAGAAATATATTTTTCTAAAGATGAAATTACCAGAACTGGCTGCAAGGGAGAAGTCAGAGACCATGCTATGTAGAGCATTGGCTATTAAAATAGTGTCTGCTATAATCTGCATTTTTCAGCATCCACGGGGTGGGGAGGGCCTTGGAACCGATCCCCTGTGAATACGGAGGATCCTACTGCTCTGGCGTAAGTCTACATACAACCATCTACGACAGTGGTTCCCAGTCTTGGGTCGCCCCTGGTTGATCTTGGACAGCATTTCCCAGAAATCCTGGCCAGCACGACTAGTAGTGAAGGCTTCTTGGAGTTACAGCCCCAAAACATCTGGGGATCCGAGATTGGGAACCAGGGATGGAAGGAATAGTTCAGAAGCTATGAAGACCCATGCTTTGAAGGATGCAGTAATTCACCTTTCTCACCCCGAGCCAGAGGGGTGGACTCCACCACTGGGGCAAAGAGAAATGTTTCAAGAGACAGATGCTTACATTATAGTTTATCCACTCCAGTTTGATTTTTTTTGGGGGGGGGGAACCATGCTATGTCTGTTTTTTGCACCTGCATCCTTGGGATCTATTTGGAAGAAGATGGAGGATACGCTGTCAGCCCCCGTGTCCTTTACTCTTCCTGAGGACACCTGTTCCACTACTCTAGGCCACTCCGGTCAAATCTCTCCAAAATCTGTGCCACTGGCGTTTCCAGGCATCCATGGGTTCTAATCTTCTACAACAAAAGTGGGCCTCAACACAGAGAGAGAAAGAGAGAGCGAGAGACTTCCTCAAGATATATATTTTTTACTTAAATGGGGCACAGGGACCCTCAGTATCCTCTATGGGGCTCTAACGGACATTTTGACCCTCTCAGCTTCCTCTCTGACCATGGCACCAGACCGCCTTAATTTTTCATTTGCCATGTCAAACATGTCAGAATTTATCATCTTACGTTACCTTTGGATTTTGGTATTTTATTCTCTCTCTTTTAAATAAAACACAATAATTATACACAAACAAAATTGAAACAAAGTGCTCCCTCTTTCTTTTAAATCAATAAACCAGGGCAAAACCAGCTGTCAAACACATGGGTCCTTTTGCAGGAGAAGGGGGGAATAAACACACAGACACACAAATAAATGAGCAATCTCTAGATGTTGTTTAATTTGCACGCACAAAAAAAGCCTAACCTGGCAACAATTGTGCAGGGGGGTGTGCATGTGTACAAATTACACTGTTGTCTTGAAATGAGGTTTTCCCGTTCTTCCGTATCATTTCCCTGGTGGAAATCGGCCCCTTCCCAGCAGAAAAGACTATGCCACTATGCCCCCTTTTAGGGCTGAGGGCTGGAGGAGGCGGTGGAGGGATTGTGTTTCTTTTCCTTCCTCTACTTTTCCCCCTTCTCCCTTTCTACTTTTATCTCCCTCCGCTGCTTGCCTGCCTGCCTTGTCTCGCCCTCCCGGCTGATGCGCTGCTAATACAGCCATTTCCAGAGCTATTACAGAGTTGATGTACTCTGCTAAAGAGAATATTTGTCTTTGAGAAAGAGTCAGGTCCCTGGAGCTGTAAAAAAACATTGACGGCTCCATAAAATGCAGCTTCTGAACTTGCCAGAGACGGGAGGGAGGGCTTCTGCGTGATCTCCTTTCCTCTGTCAGGACTGATTTCGGAGCAGGCGAAAGTCTTCGCCTGGCCGGCCCTACTGTGAGACAAAGGGAGGGACCCATGAAAGTGGGTGGCTGCTGTGTCCGTGAGGTGGTGGATCTGCTCCGGATTTCAATTTGAACTTGACCGGAGCTTTCCCAGGTGCTGAATGCTGTCCCTGAATAAGTGCAACATCTTGGAACAATTCTTTAAAGTTCAGACTAAAACCCTGTGCGGATTCAGTGCCCCACAGATGTTGGAGTTACCAAGTTCAATTGACAATCCAGATCGCTATGCGGATTCGTCGTTAAACGGTGCACTCGTTATGCGAGGCACCACTGTATTACGTTTCTCATTTGTCCAACCTTTAGTTTATTCCGTCTCACTATCTGAGTCTGAGGTCCTCTTTTTCCAGAAAGTAGAACGCTGGGGAAAGAATCTGTATATATTTTTCTGTACATTATTGTAATCTACATGTTTTTGCATGTTTGGGGCCATTTTTTGTTTTTGTCTGTTCTTTCACATTTTTTCCCCAAACCATGCACATATATTTTTCTGCACATTATTGTAATCTACATGTTTTTTGCATGTTTGGGGCCATTTTTTTGTTTTTGTCTTTTCTTTCACATTTTTTCCCCAAACCATGCATGCTGTTTTCACTTTCAAGGGATGTCTCAGAATTTGCAGCTGGCTGGATAGCTCAGTGGTTTAGGTCTCTGGCTGTGGAGTCAGAGGTTGGGAGTTCGATTCCCTGCTTCTGCCTCCCAGGAGAAGAGCCAGCCTGGGTGGCCTCGGGCGAGCTGCACAGTCCCACAGCGCCCCCAGAGGAAGGGAAGGGTAAAGCACTTCTGAGTATTCTCTACCTGGAAAACCCTGGAAAAGGTCACACTATAAGTCAGAATTGACAACACATAATTATTATTATGGGTGGATTTGCAGATTAGTCCCTAAGAATAAATGCAGGTTTGTGAGTGTTGTGCATTTTAGTTGTTCACCATTAAAAGTTTGCAAAGGACCTTATTTCTTCAGGATGCCCAGGTGGCCTCAGAAATGTACAAACACTTGAGGAACGAGTTAATTCTTCTCACAACATGCCTCATGCTGCAGCCACTTTACTGTATCCAACTTTCCATTCCAAACCTTTGTTTCCTAAAGCCTTTGGCAAGGGTCAATACAATGGGTCTAACACATCTTATAGGGAAACTTGAGCAGAGGTGAAACTAGCATTGTTGACTGTGTTTTAACTTAGCGCGCGGCTCGAATGGGGTTCGCCTGGCCTGAGGATGGGCTGGTTCGCTCCTTTTCCCAGTGACCACGCAATGTCTGGACCATTATGAACCAGCCCCTCTCTGATCCATGCCTACTACCTGCGCCTTCTTTTTTTGGCTCCCTGCCAGGTCTAATTTGGGGGGGGGGAGAGATGAGCGGGATCTGTGCTCCGTGTTGGTTGTGTTCCGAGGAGTGTGATCCTTTGGGATCCAACCAAAGCAGGCAATGTCAGCCACTTCGTGATCCTGGGAAATTGAAAACTTCTTCCTGCTCCTCTGTGGGGGGTGGGAGTGGGGGGGAGAGGAAGCAATTTTTGTTGTTTTTTTTAAAAAGCCTTCTAAGGCAACATTGATATGTTATAAAGCAACATGTGCTGTTCATATATCATTTAAAGGACTCTCTGTGTGGTTTGCAGTTTAATTATGCAGGCTACACACTGCCCAGCGAGCCAAGTACTCATTTTACCAATCCTGGAAGGATAGAAGGTTGAATCAACCTCGAGCCGGATACCTGAGCCCAGGATCAAACACAGGCCATGAGCAGAGTCTTCACTGCAGTACTGCCGTTTAACCACTGTGGTTAAACTGCATTGAAAGCTTCCTCCCAGAAAGAAGAGGAGGGAGAGAAGAGGACAAAAAGGAGGATCTTTCTTCTTTGTGGTTAAATTGCATTGAAAGCTTCCTCCCAGAAAGAAGCGGAGGGAGAGGAGAGGACAAAAAGGAGGATCTTTCTTCTTTCTTTCTTTCACTTTAAAGAGAGGAAGGAAGGGCCAAATAGAGTTGTTTGAGGTATGGTGTGGTTTCCTGACCTGATATCACCCCAATCCTTCACTGGATCCAGCCTGCTCCACTTTGGCCACCTACTCCTGCCCTTAGCATAGGATGTGGGGAATAGTGAAGCAGGTCTGGACACTCTAAGCCTTCTTGAACTGGGTGGCTAAGTGGTTCTGTGAGCAAGGCTGGACCCCAGCGAACTCAGGATGATGACAACGGAGGGCCTGCCTTTCTGTGCCTCTCAACCCAGCCCACTCTGTCTGGGAAAGCTTTTGCAGCAGGATCAGATGCACAAAGTGGTCTATGCAGTCGAGATAATTAACTCCAGCCTTCACGAATAATGACCCGGGCGTTGTGCCGATCCATCTGACCTTCTTGCCAGATGATGGGAGGAGGCAGAAGGTTCTCAAAGAGAGTCTGGGCCCCCTCTCTGTGGTCAAAGTTATTGATGGCCTCTCCCAACGGATGGATGGGGAGCCATGTCCCCTGATAATGGGGACTCTTTAGTCTCTGAACCAGTTCTTTGGAGGAGAGATCAGGGATCTGGGTCCAGCCGGTTTGCTGGTGTCCAGAACCACCACACGGTTTTCTTCTACACCAATAAGCGATGTGTGATTTTTCTTGTCCTGCAAACCTGGCTGATTCTCCCCTGGGGTGGTGACTTGTCTTCTCCAGGTGACGGACAGGTGGACTTTGAGGAGTTTGTGACGTTACTCGGCCCGAAGCTTTCCACGTCTGGCATTCCCGAGAAGTTCCACGGCACCGATTTTGACACAGTGTTCTGGAAGGTAAGGAGAAACCCGTTTCCCCCACCCCACCCCTCAAATCTGATGGTTTGGCTGTCTTCTTGATTTTACTGCAGATATTTGTACTGAAGATTTTCCCCATTTTTCTTGGTGACTGGAACCTCTGCGGCAATACAGGAGGTAGGGTCAGCGATTCCCCAAATGGTGTCTCCTTTCTTCATTATTTTTTTTCAGCTCCATTTCCGCCTTGTGAACTCTTTAATGGGCTTTTTGGTTTATTTATTACATTTATATCCTCCCTTCTCTCCCTGATGCTCAAGGTCGTAAACCTGCCTACTCCCCTTTGCCCTCACAACACCCCTGCAAGGGAGATCAGGAAACAAGAACACGGTCTAGATGCTAGCCCAAAATTGAGCAGTGTCACGTTCAGAGACTGCAGAGCCGATATCAAAATGCCAAAGCCAAATCACAAACCGTAATCCGAGGTCAGGATTCAAAGCCAAATCACACAACGTAGTCCAGGGTCAGAGTCCAAAGCCAAGGGTCCAGAGAACGAGGTAGTCAGGAGCGTGGATATGAGCCAGAGATTTGACTTGTTGCCTCCACAAGCTTGCCAGCGTCTGGGTGCAGATTTTATAGCAACAACAGCCATCTAAACACCTCATCCTGCTAAAACTCAGGGCTGCTGGACCTGATGTTCCTATGGGAAGCATTCATGCGGGCTTTGGATCTCCTTGCGATGAGTCCTTGCTGAAGCTTGTCTCTTACTCTGGCTACTGGGGGAGGAGAATCTGGTGGTGATTCAGCTGTCTGTGATTCTGATTGCCTAGCCTTCTCCTCAGCTGTAATTCACCCCTCAGATTCCAGATCTTCTCCAGCAGAACTCATGACAAGCAGCACATTTCATGGGAGCCCGAACACAGAGCTACCAGCTCACCGGTTAAGCCTTTTACACTCGCTGTCGTCCAAGCGTCTCTTCCATGGGTGGGAGGACACAACACACACACACACACACAAAACCTCAGCCGTGATTCTGGCAGCCACAAGATCCAAGACTTTGTGGCCACATGGCAACCAAACAGCCCGCCGGGCAAATCTCATGAATCGTGATGAACTCCCCCCTCCCCATCTCATTGCATGCAGTGTGGACGAGTCTTTTTTTGCTTCCGAACCTTGCTATCGTTGCTGTGTTTCTCCCCTCTGCCAGCTTTTCTTTTGCACAGTGTCTGCAGAGAGGAAAGGAGTTAAGCTTCCCCTTGTCAAAAGAGCTGCTGTTTGGTGGACACCCTTTGAGCGGCAGAAGCGAATATGAACTTCCTCCAGCCTACGGCCGAGTTCTCTTTTCTCCCTCTTCTGGGTTATGGATGAGCTCTGCTCGCCATGCTAACTCAAGACTTTGAGAAACACTGAAGCTTTTATTAGCAGCATACAGTAGGACCCCCCCTCCCCGATATCCACGGGAGATTGGTTCCAAGCCCCCACCCCCCCTTGCAGATGCCAGAAATAGCGGATAAGTGAAGCACTTCCAGTTTCTCTGCTGTCCATGCATGCTTGAGAAAGGAAACCCTGGCCCAGCCCTCCTCCTGTTCCCAAGGGAGCCTTCTCTCAAAACAGTAAGTGCTGTGTACCCCCGCCTGACGCACACCCCAGCAAATGCTGCTTCTCCATCTCACCAGAAGCTGCTTCTCTTGGCTACAATTGAATTTTCATTAAGCCACCTGTTATATAGCATAGTCTCTGGTTCCATCTAGTGTTCAGTCTTGATAATACACCTTGGGAACATGTATTTCTGGGGTTTAAATTTTTTCCCCCTACTTTTTCCCAATTTTTTCCAGGCAGTGGCTAAGTGAAACCGTGGGTACTGACCCCACAAATACAGTGGTCCTACTGTACTTCTAAGTAGCCCTTCAACTAGCCATTCCAAGGTCCAGTCTATCGCTAAGAGGCTGGTCCTCCTTCTGGATCAGCAAAATGGCCTTTTAAAAAAATCTTCTCGATAGAAGGCCAAAACGCAGGTATAGGAAGGGTGCAGGCCAGGCCCCAAGTGCCTGCTGAGCATCCCAGGGTGTTCCCAGGGGACCCCCCCCCAAAGCTTATTCTTTCACCCCATCCCACTCCACACACATTCTCTTTGAATAGCTAGCAGAGGGACTCCCGTTTATAGCACGGGGCTGCCACCCTTTAAGCATCCTCCATTCCTCCAAGAGGAAAGAACTCCGTGCTTACCCAGATGGTGGGTTTGAGCACTGGAATAAGCGAAAGGAAAAACCAGAAAGGATTCCGAGCCTAAAGGCCCTTCTTGAACTTGGGGGGCAGTCTGGTAAGTGAACCAAGCAAAGGAGCAACGGGTCAGGCAGACATCTCGAACTTTTATGACCCTTTCCAAGGAAGGCACTGCAGCGCATTCAAAACATTTTTTAAAAAAAGGTTAATCCAAGACAGAATAATCATGGAGGGTAGACACCATTTTAAAAAATACAAAAGTGGTAAAAGAAATAAGGAAATGCATATAAGTTTCTGTTTGTTTGTTTTATAGCCCCCACCGTAAAACAGAATCGTCATCCTGCTTGCAGTCAGGTTCATTAAAGCCCTGATTCTATCCACAGCCAGTGTTCATCCATCCCTCATTGTCCTGGGGGATCCTCTCTCTCTCTCTCTCTCTCTCGTTAACCTGACGGGCTGATCCCTGCGAGGTATAAGCTGGTCCCTCTGAACCCTCTGTAGCCTCCCCCTTGGTCTACCTTTCTTGGGGCTTCAAAACTTTCCAGATGGTCCAGGCACATATGTTGCAAACCTGTCGCATGAAAAACAGTACTTTCTACATCCTTTGCTGCGTAGCAACACAAACGAGTCAACAGCCATGATACCTGCTCTCTCCCTTTGTTGCGGGGGGGGGGGAGGATGATTTTTTAAAATGGACAATCACACAACCACGTCTCTGATGGTCCAATGGTCCTTTTCCTGCCATTTCAGCGCCTCCACTTCTTTTGAAAATCTAAAGTCATGAGCCGGCTGGATAGCTCAGTGGTTTAGGTATCCGGCTGTGGAGCCAGAGGTGGGGAGTTCGATTCCCCGCTTCTGCCTCCCGGGAGAAGAGCCAGCCTGGGTAGCCTTGGGCCAGCTACACAGTCCCACACCGCCCCTAGAGGAAGGAAAGGGGAAACCACTTCTTAGTACTCTATGCCTGGATAATCCTGGAAAGGGTTGCTATAAGCCAGAATTGACTTGACAGCAGTCGATGATGATGATGATGATGATGATGACGACTATTATTATTATTATTATTATTATTATTATTATTATTATTATTATTATTATTATTATTATTATTATTATTATTATTATTATTATTATTATTAAAGTAGCCCTTTGCAGGGGAGGGACCCTAGAATTAATTCACTCTTTTGAAAAAGAGGTAGACGAGGTCCATGGAAATTGGGAATGGAAAATGAAGCTCTATTTATTTATTTTAATTATATTTTTAAAAAGACTATCCTGCTTTCTCATTAAAAAGGACCAAGGCCACTTACATCCTTGAAAGATAATATTTGAAGCTAAGAACAATAAGTATCCACATATTAAAAAGGAACAAACCCACACCACTCTGAGAAATGCTGGGAAAAAAAGCAATAATAATATTCAAAGCAGTAATGCATGAAAATCCATGTAAAGACCCCCCACTCAGGCAACTAGTCCCTCGGGGGAAAGCTTATTTGTCTGCTTGAGGAAGGACAGCTGAGATGAAGCCAGACTGGATTCCAGTGGGAGGGAGTTCCAAAGTCTAAGAGCAGCCACAGAGAAAGCTCTCTCCTGCATCTCCACTAAACATCCCTGTGAAGGTGGTGGGACCGAGAGAAAGGGCTCTCCGTGAAAATCCATGTAAAAACCCGCATTCAGGCAACTAGTCCCTCAGGGGAAAGTTTGCCTGAAGAGAAAGGCCTTATTTGTCTGCCTGAGGAAGGACAGCCGAGATGGGGCCAGACTGGCCTCCAGTGGGAGGGAGTTCCAAAGTCTAAGAGCAGCCACAGAGAAAGCTCTCTCCTGCATCTCCACTAAACGTCCCTGGGAAGGTGGTGGGACCGAGAGAAAGGCCTCTCCAGTGACCTCAACACCCAGGCAGGCTCATAAAGGGAGACGTGGTCCTTGAGATAGCAGTGTCTTCTCTTATATGCTCTAAGTTGTAGCCCTACTCAGCATTCCTAGATGACCCTGGCGCCTGCGGATAGAATTTTCTCAGACTACGATTCCCATAATTCCTCACTCTGGGAGGCCCACCTGACTTAAACACACCTTACGGACACCTAAACGTGGCTCATGTGGGAGAAAAGGCCTCCATTGAAGGCTTTGAGGGTTAGCTAGGCCTAGATCCTTCTAGCTTCCTGTTCAGAAAGGAAGTTCTCACCAAGCCCCGGGGCAGAACAGGAAGTTAGGCCAAGCTCGGCCTAGCAAAGTCTCAAAGCCTTCCTGTTGAGGCCTTTCTCCCAGGTGAGCCACATTTTGGTGGCTGTAAGCTGTGTCCAAGGCAGGAAGAACTCTCAAAAGAGAGGGTTATGGGATTTGAGGTCCAATTTTTTAAAAAATATCCCATTTCTGCTGGCTTCTTTTCCTATCGTAAGAGGTGAACTTATCTGGAACTGCTTTTCCTCGCGAAGCTCGGTGGTTAGGCAGACGCAACCGAAGTGCTGTGGAAATCATGTGCAGCGCTATGGCAGTTATGCCAAATGGTGTAAAAGTAAGATCAGTGACAATATGAAAAACACTAGGAATGCCAGTGATTAATGGAGTCTTGCCAGGTTGAGACTCCTAGATTCTTCCTTGCGCCAGCAAGATTTGCTAACATCCCCATGAAAAAGAGCAGCTAGCTCAGTTTCATTTATCCCATTTATTGACATACTGTCAGTTTTCATCTGAGCCTTTGCTGGCGTTTCCAGGGAATCGTGTACAAGAAAGATACCACAGAGTGCAGAAATTGTTGTTATCAGGTGCCAATGGGTACTCTTTCTGGGAAAGAAAAATAACCCACAAAACATTTGAGAAGTCCCTTTTTTTTCCTCTCAGTTGCTCACGGAGGCCAAGAGGTTGTGAGATTCATGTCCTTAGATTGGCAGTGCCTGCACACCGAGCAGTTCATTGCTCCCCTGGAGGCGATGGCTGTTCGCCCCAGGAGACTAAGAAGTTGTAAAGATGGAGAGGAACCAGACTCCCAAAACTTGGAAGAGGCAAGAATTGGAAACACAGGACGTTTACAGGGGAAAGCTACGGGTGACGACGCTGGCTCTAACATATTGTGTCCCAGAGCTACTAACACACGTTGTGTGCCGAGCAGTGTGTGCATGCGTGCATGAGCCTGGCTCAGCCAAGTGTAACCTATAATGGCATCAGAGCTTATGGCCATCCTGCAATGCTGCTATGGTTTCTTCTTCTTCTTCTTCTTCTGCAGTGCGATATGCAGAAGCTGACGGTGGATGAGCTGAAGCGGCTGTTGTACGACACCTTCTGTGAGCACCTCTCCATGAAGGACATTGAGAACATCATCATGACGGAGGAGGAGAGCCACATGGAGAACACAGAGGAGTGTCCGGTGGATGTGGAAAGTAAGGGAACCTTGGTCCAACTGCAGATCCTTGGGGGGGCACGGGATTTGCTCCTATAAGACTTTTGGGTTTTAGTCTGAACATTACAAGAGCTAGCAAAGTTCCCTTCCCTTTAAATATATATATATATTTAAATCCCATTAGTTTCTTTTCTAAGGATATCCCTTTCTAAGGATAGCATATTGTTGCAGGCGATTCCTCTGGTAATGAAAAGTATTTTGGACTGATTTCAAGGGGAAATTAAGAGCCCTTAACTTTACAAAAGACCCATTCCTCATTTATTCAGATGCCTGCATTTTTTTTGTACCCTCTCTTTTGGGGGTGCTGGCCTTGGAGCCTGTCACCCTGCACATCTGCATTTCCAGATGTATTGGTATAGGACAGATAAGGATCCCTCTCACACTTGACCCTCGCGGTGGGCGGCCCAGAGCGAAGATTGAGTGCCCCTTAAAACCAAAAATACTAAATGACTGGGCCGTTTTTGTATGTTAGAGATTTGGCAGCAGCAAAGTAACATACGAAAAGGAAGATCAAGTGTGAAGCAAGAGCTTAAGAATTTGATGACTGATTTTAAAAATAATAATAATAATAATCTGAAAATCAGATAATCTGGAGGAATTTGCAAACGGGAAAGTATCTCTTGATTGCCCTTCAGTCTTTCCTCATCATATATGAGCCAGATTGTTATTGTCAGCGATTCAATGGGATTCTTCCCTCTTAGCCCTGGACCAATTTCTCTCCTATCTGGTTCCAAAAATAACTTCTTTTAAACCACGTTTCCTGGAAAAGAACCTCAAAGTCACCGTGGCCAGTGTCACTGCTGACAAGGCCATTCTAGCTCTGCCTCCTGTGGTCTCCTCATGCTGCGTCCATTCTTGACCACTTCCCTTCCCCTTAACTTCTTTGGGTATACAGTAGAAGCCCCACAAACAGAGGGGGTCAGTTCCAAGGGCCCCCACCCCACCCTGCGGAGGCTTATTACACATAGAATGGTCTCTGGCTCTGTCTTGTGGCCAGATCTGGTAACTTCATTTTTAAATTTCTAGGATTTTTCTTTTAATATGTTTTAATATTTTCAGACCGTGGATAAGTGAATCCGTGGATACCGATCCCGTGGATAAGGGGGTCCTGTTGTAAAATTATTTATCAGGGTTGGAGGATGAGTATTAAGGCACCTTCTCCATTATCCCCCATCAAAAAAGCATATTTTGGGGGGGGGTCATTATCTTCAGGGTCATATGCTGAGAAGAAGTATAGCCAGATGAGATTGATTTTTTAATGGACACCCTCACCCCCAAATTGTCTTTGCACTCAGATCCTTTCTTTCCCCTGCAAGGGAGACTAGTTCACTCCCACCAGGAGTCTGAATTGACTTGGGACAAGCAAATCCAGAAAGTGACCTTCTCCGGCCTTCTCTCCCTCCCTCTTCTGTTGAAACACAAAAGTCCATTACAGCTGCCGAATGCTTGGCCTCTTAATGCATGCGATGGCTGTACAAGGCCGGCCAGGTGGCTTCTCACGCCCAGCCATTGAGCTGGGAGGTTGCCAGACAAGATGCCAAGAGGAAGGAGGAACACCCCCCCCCCAAAGCTGTAGCTGGCACTGGATCCCAGAGCATCTCCAAGGGTGCAGGATTTGGGATCGAGAGCCCCACCAGGCCAGAGGCACCGTGTGACACGGGATCTTTTCTACACTCCTTAAGCTTCCACATTGCCTTCCATTCCTAAGAAGTCTAAGGAAGAGCTCCGGGCACAAGGTGCTTGGGGGAAAACCTGGATGGATCAGTGCGGGCTGGGGGCTCTAGTGTCAGTGGAGAGCGTACATCCACTTTGGGTTTTAGTCTGAACATTACAAGAGCTAGCAAAGTTCCCTTCCCTTTAAATATATATATATATTTAAATCCCATTAGAGTTTCATTAGAGTGAATCCTATTAGAGTTTCAGTCTAGACCGCAAGCCTTATAGGAGCTACCCAAGGTCCTGAATGTGAATATATATACATTCAGGACCTTGGATAGCTCCTATAAGGCTTGAGGTCTAGACTGAAAATCTAATGGGATTCACTGCCTCATTGTCAGCACAGTTCATCAGGCTTCAGAGTACAATACTGCAGAAGGTGTTCCAGTGTTTCTAGTGTGGTCTAATATCTTCCCGGAGAAAATTTGGGTGAACCCATTTACATAAGTGAGGCCTAATTATTACAGTTTGGTTTTGCATAATGTAGTTTTTGGTGTTTTGCATAATGTAGTTTTTGGTGTTGTTAATTAGATTTGGATTTTGTTAATCATAGGAAAAACCTGGAAAGAAGCATTTTGGAACAGTGGCAATGGTCTTCCATGGTCTGATCGTTTGATCAAACAGCATCCATGCATGAAAAGTCATTGCAATCCCTGGTTGATCCAAATGTTTGCAGGGGCTGATGCTTCAGGTGGGGTGGGGGGTAGACCCATAGATTAAGTGGGTTCTGGCCCTCAAGACCTGGAGAATTTGAGAACTGAGAGATGAAGCTATTCCTTTTCTCGAATTCTTACAAAGCTGTACTATTATTACAAAGTGCCACATTCAGGGGTAGCAGAAGGTGACAGCGGTGGAGTTAGCAAACTTTTGTTGGTATTACACAGAAGGTGACCATGATAAACCCCTGCTGAACTTTCTTTATCATGAAAACCCTATGATGAGGGAGTTGAAAATGAAACAAGAGATAGTGCCGGAAGATGAGACTCCCAGAGTAGAAAGCTCTCAGAGAAGAGCGAAAGAAAAGATCGCTGACTGTGTCCATTCTTTTTCTCCCTCTTGGCTTGTCTTGAATCTGTCTTTCCTGCACACTCATCTCCTCGCCCTTCCTGCTCTCCTCCCTCCTGCGTTCCTTCTCAGCCTGTTCAAACCAACAGATCCGACAGACGTGTGTCCGGAAGAGCCTCATCTGCGCCTTCGCCATTGCGTTCATCATCAGCGTCATGCTGATTGCCGCCAACCAGGTGCTGCGAAGTGGAATGAAGTAGCCCCACAAGAGATGGATGGATGGACGGATGGACGGATAGAGAGGCAGACAGATCCATGGACTTTCCTGAACACATGGAGAAAACTCACCATACATACCTATAAATACCGATAGCCACGAGGGCTGGGTTGGGTGGAGGGAGGGAAACTGTAACCCCTCTGCATCCAAAACTCCTGCACATCCCCATAAATTCACCATTCCTTCCTCTTCTCTGGGAGGGGCCACCCCCTTTCCTCTTGCTGGAGAGGCGGCTGTCTTTTCAGGAGACAAGCGTGGCTTTCCCAGGGTGGGGCCCCACGTGGCCCAGCTAGAGAAGTTTTAAAGCATGGTGGAACTTTTAAACTCAACTTTAAAAGCATGGCACAGTGCATGGAGATCTCCTCCTAACCCCCCCCTTTCCCACCCTCACCTCCTCATCTGAGTGATGCAATACTCTGTGCTTTTATAATCGGATATTAGAATCCTATAAAATATATAAAATGTTATATATATATATAAAATATATATATATTTATGATAAACCGAATAATCCGTTAAGCAATACACATGCGTCGGGATTTTCTATCCAGGATTCAGGCGTTGCATGAACATCAACCCACACGAAAAAGGGCTGGGTGCAAACCACGTGGCTGTTCGTATCCACATCCGACTTCCCCCCGGCAGGTTCTTTCCAGCATCTATGCATTTTTCTTTCCGTCTCCCCTGGCCTCCCGACTGATCGGGGAGGGCGGGGGCTTCTTAGGACCTGCTGGACACAGATCTCGGGTTGTTTGGGTGGAAGGCACCAGCCAAACGTTGGCTTGCCTCAGGGAGAAGCCCTCTCTGGCGTGGCCTCAGTGGCTGTTCCCCTCCTCGTTGCATGTGGATATTCCCATGGGAAGCCATGCCAGGCGGGTAAAACTCTTCCTCTAAGGGGCGCTGGGCCAGAATGTTCCAGGAGATGTCAGAGACTCCACCTCCATTGTGCCCTGTAACATCTTCTCATGATGCCACCATAATGTACATAAAAAGCCAAAGGGCACGGCTCAAATCATGAAGTCAGCCACCTTGTAAATTCCCTTCTGTGAAGCCCAGTATAATGTTATCTGGCTCGGCTGAAATCTCTCTCTCTTACGACCCAATCTTGTCTTGAGGTGGAGACTTCTGAGCGATGGGGAATTAAGTTCCTTCCCTGGATGGCCTGGCCCAATGGCAAACCATGTCCCCTGTTTGAAAAAGGAAGGGTTAAAAAGCGACGATGATAATAATTGTGCCTTATTTCTAATTTGAATTTGTCCACCGTTTAACCTGAAAACTGTCGGTTCTCGTTCTACTGTGGCTAGACTGGGAAGAGATTATTGCTATTCTTGTGCTTTCTGTCCATGAATGTATTTTGTGCCGCAGAGTCAAATCTTGAAGGGAGAAAGAAAGAACAAAAGAAAGAAAGAAAGAAAGAAAGAACGAAAGAAAGAAAGAACGAAAGAACGAAAGAACGAAAGAAAGAACGAACGAAAGAAAGAAAGAAAGAAAGAAAGAAAGAACGAAAGAAAGAAAGAACGAAAGAAAGAAAGAACGAAAGAAAGAACGAAAGAACGAAAGAACAAACGAAAGAACGAACGAACGAACGAACGAACGAACGAACGAACGAAAGAAAGAAAGAAAGAAAGAAAGAAAGAAAGAAAGAAAGAAAGAAAGAAAGAGAATCTTAGACTATGTTTATGACTCTGTAGACCTGCTTGTTCTGCTATTGAAAAAGATTCAGGTGGATTTAGAAACATTTTAATCAGAATGATTTCTGTTTGTCTCCTGGTTAGCCCTTTGTTAATATGTTCCAATATTTCTTTAAGTCCCTTTTGCGAGAGAATCAGGCCAGAAGTTGTCCAAAGCAGGTTTTTCTCAAGGGTCTCCCCCCCCCATGAATCAATGTCCGTATAAGTTATGCCCTCATTTCATCTTCACAAGACAGAGTTCAGAGGCTCAAAAAAGAGAAAGAGTGTGGGAGATTTTTGACCAGTTGTCCGGATGGCTTTTAAACCACAATAACAAGAATAACCCTCCATAGCAACAGAAAAAGGACTCTAGAGCTGGCCCTACCATTCAGATCTGGGATATCTTGAGAGAGCAGCAAATGGTTAGTTATTTAATCAATTATGAGTCATTGTTTAGTCAATTTTGATTATCCTTTTGCTGCTGGAAGAGGGACTGGCTCTCCCTGACCCTGCTAAATATCTCCTATGGCAAAGGTTTTAACGTTTTCCGAAGTTTAAGTTTAAATCTTTAGGCCAAGAGAGAGCTCTTGATTACACTCGACAGATCAGATGAAATGTTTAGGCCAGGATGCTGTTTGATGAGCACAGAGTGGAAGAGATTCGCATAAGTATTCCAGCTACTCTGGCAGGCTCCCTGTTGCATGCTCAGTCCTGAGACCGGTCGCGTGACCAGCACGAGACCAGGCATGCAAGAGGGAGCTGGCTGGATCCGGAAGGAGAAACATTTGTGCGATTATCCCTCTGCTCTGCATCTGTGGAACAGGAACACTGGGCTGAATGTTCCAAAACTGCAATGACTAGATGTAATACGTTCCAGACAGAGAGTCCTGTATTTCAGAATTTACTGACTTTTGCCTTTACCACTGGGTGATGTCACCTTCCATAACCCTTTATCGCTGGCCTTGTTGGTGGGAGCTAGTGGCAGCTGAAGTTTAAAATATCTGGAAAGCCCAAAGGTTTCTCTCCATGATCTTAGCTGTGGGCATTGTCTATTTGAAAGGCTGGCCTGCCCCAGGCCAGTCTGAAGACCCCATGTGGAAAATAGCTCAAGAGCCATAAAGGTGCCCATCAAGACTCAGCAGGACCCGGACAGCCGATGGAGCCATCAGGTACATATACAGGTCACCCGGTCACACTCCTCTGCTACAGTGCAATGTCTTGTGTTTATATTTAAATTATAGTCATTCTGTCTAAATTTGCATCTATATCTATAAATGAGCATATGCCAATTTTATGCAAATCTGCATCCTTTTTGTGTCCTCTGTTTTGGTAAAGTGCATGTGATGGTTCTACCTCCTGCCTGGCTTTGTCGCAGAGTTTTGAATTTTTTGGTTCCATTTCTCTAGCTTTGCACTGCAGAACTGCAAGGATGCACAGAGCAGAATAGCTTCAAGTTTCCCTGTGTGACGGTTCTAACTCCTGCCTGGCTTTGTCGCAAGAGTTTTGAATTTTTTGGTTCCATTCCTCTAGCTTTGGACTGCAGAACTGCAAGGAATCACAGAGCAGAATAGCTTCAAGTTTCCCCAGAATAGTTCAACCCTTTTCCCTTATCAACAGGCGCTGACAGTCTCAATAGCTCACTCTGAGACAGGAGGAAGAAGAATAAAATGTTTCATTACTTACAGTTGTGAAGAGATCAAACAGCAAACAGACAAAACATAGCACACTTCAGCAAACTTCAGCAGACTTCTGGAGAGGGAAAAAGACACTGGGCAGAGAAGCCGGGCTCTCTGAATTCGGGAACAATTAGCCTTTCAGCAAATTTCAGCAGACTTCCGGAGAGGGAAAAAGACACTGGGCAGAGAGGCCGGGCTCTCTGAATTCGGGAACAATTAGTTAGTGCTGGATAGATTGACAGACTCCCCAGTCCAGAAAGTTTCCTCCCAGCCAAAGCTACTAAAGGCAGCAAGCGAGATTGTAAAAACTCTAACAGTTTTAACTTTTAGTATGTTCATTGATTGACTGAAGCAGATACAGGGTCCTTATCCAGCACAGAGGTAGGCAGATGTATAAAGGAACGCAGTCGATCACTGAGACTTATGTATAGCACCGATGGCTGGAGAGCTAACCTGTTCGGGTAGGATTCTCCCCCTTTGTTTCTGCTCTCACCAAGCACCACCCAGTCACGTGTGAGGCCAAAGGTGGTTGGGAAGGAACACGACACAGAGAGTCGGGCGGATCCTTTGCCTGGTCTGAAAGGCAACCCAGTTGCTCGGTTTTAGCATTGATTAGAGCTTGAAGTCTCTGCCTTTGGTTGGACTACAATTCCCAGAATCCTTAGTCTGCGTGGGGGATTCTGGGAGCTGTAGTGCGAGAGCTAACTTTCTCAAGTGCAAGTACTGATCCTTCAAATATAGCTTTACATCCTCTGCCCATAGGCACACGCTGTCTTCTCCAGGGCACTTATGTAGCCCAGCCCCCAATAAAGCTGATAATCTCATTCCCCAAATGGAAAAGGGGTGGGTGGGTGGGATACAAAGAAAAAGAGGGTCCTGCAATTGGCAGGTCTTATTTCTGAGGAAAGAAGTTAGCAGGAGGATGAAATACGGTAGGCAGGTAAAAAGTTCCAGATGTACAAAAATCTTCCTTGCAGGGGGGAATCTTGCAAATATGGTGCAAGGTCACTTGCAACACTCCTGTCCATTCCATGCAGGCCCCTTCCGGGTTTTCTGTCTTTCCTCCTCCTAAAGCCAGCCTCCACATTTTGGAAAACACCTTTGAAATTCATACTAAAACCCCGAGCGGATTCTCTGCCCCCATGAAATCAGAGTCACGAACCTCCACCAGCTTTAACTATTGCTTGTTTTTCTGCAGGGCTGGGGATGCCCCCAAACTTCCACTTGAGTGTACATTGCGCCATTCTAACTACATAACGGATGGCAACCACCACTTCGACCTTGGGAACAAAGGTGGGTGGAAGAAGGAAGGATTTTTTTTCAATGTAAAGCACTGACAAAGAATGGAGCCAGATAGGGAGAAAAGCTCAACCAGCTCTTAGCTCTTCCACAAGGCAGCTTTTGCATCCACGAGCAAGGTTGTTCAGAGCACGGCGAGCACAATCTGCTGAGGCCGAATCCTGTACACATGCATCTACATCTCGCAGAGATAAGACAATGCTCATGTAATCCAGTGGGTCATCTCAGGTACGATGCCGAGCACTTAATTCCTAAAGAACTTCAGTGTGTGCTATGAAATCTGTTCACGCTTCCTGTTGGCCGCCCCAAAGGGATGCCAAGCTTTACGTTACAAAGGGCAGCCTGAATGTTGATGGCATCCATGGCAGCTGTCTAGAGGGTCTACAGCAGAGTAATCTCTCCTGTTCACCCCTAAGACCATCTGCACGACACATGAACTGCTAGGTGGCACCGGCTTTCTCTTGAACCTTTTTGGCATCTGACCACCGCTCGGCTCTGTCCACCCTCTGGCCATCCTCGTGCCAACTCTGTCTCCCTTCGCCTTTGTAAGAACCCCGATATTTGGTCGAGATCACAGCCGGACCTCTTGTCAAGTCTGAAAGGCCACACGTTTGCCTCATGCCTTGGCTTTTTATTCCTCAACTGTATCTAAGCTGTACCAGGAATTTGAAAAATGATCTGTTCAGAGGTCAGCTCCCAGAATATTCGGGCTGGGGAATTCTGGGCCCTGCTCAGAGGTAAATTTTCCAAGCAGTGGGTACAACTCAGTTGAAGCAATTTGTCAAGATGTTGTGAGCTAGTTAGGTGCTGTCAGCAGACTTCTAGTGACCCTAATAGGGCTTTCAAGATAAGTGAGGTATTTAAGGAGCGGTTTTGCCAGTTCCTCTCTTTCCCTTCCCCCCATGGGTTTCCATGGCCAAGCAAGGATTCGAACCCCTCCACTCCTTCCCTTCCCTCCGTGGGTTTCCATGGCCAAGTGAGAATTCGAACCCAGGTCTCCAGAGTTGTAGTGCATCACCGTATATTGAGGAAGGCTAGATAAAGATGTACTTTGAAGATGTACTTCAAAATGTAAGACACGGGAGTTTAATTCAGGTAGCGAGAAGTATACGTGTCTGTCTGTGTGTGTGTGTGTGTGTGTGTGTGTGTGTGTTGATTAGTTCTACTCAAACTGTTCCTGACACGGCAATTTACACCATTGTTCTAGTCAGCAGAGAGAATCGCACACCGCCATTTATAATGCGAGGGATAAATCATACCGCTTGTTTCTGAACACAAAGCCCTTTGTTGCTTTTGATGCTTCGGAAGAATTATTAAACATCTTCGCCTGCTGTGTATTATTAACCATAACTTTAAATGATGGCGGTAATAATTTCTACGGTTGTTTCTATTCTGCCAAACACCTGCCAACATGATTGGCAGTTTGCCTGCATTCTGGCAGGATGCGGACTCCCTTTCCAGGACTCCAGCTGTATAGGTTGTTGCAGAGTTTTCAGTTCCTTGGTTAAATTAATCTAGTTGCACAGCAGAATTGCAGGGATTCACAAAGCAGAATAGCTTCAAGTCCCTCGGAGTCGTCCACTCCTGTTTCTCATCAACCGGCACTTCCGGTCTCAATAATTCACTCCAAGACATTAATAGGAGAAAGAATAAAAGGTTCAATTACTTACAGTTTAATGGATCCAACAGCAAACTGAACAAATGTGACTGGTTTCAGCGACAATCTTTAACAGACTCCAGAGGGGAAAAACACTGACCAGAGAGGAGGGCCTCTTTTTGAATTCAGA